TTATGTAATCTATTATTATTGTATTATTTATTTCGTCATATTCTTTCAGGATATCGCATGCCCACGCCGGAGAATACGCCGCCCGAAATGTACCGTCTGATGCTGAAGTGCTGGGCCGCTGATGTCGATGCTCGTCCGCATTTCGACGAGATCTACAATGTCGTCGATGCGCTCATACTGCGTCTGGACAACAGTCACTGAGCGCCTTAGATGTCCAGGCTCTGTGCGAAGCTGTAATTAACATAGTTATTTTTAATACACACTCAACGTAGTTCTGAGTAAGCGCTTTTAAAGTATGTCACTTCCTAGGACTACACAACGAAATGCCTGTATTTATAAAATACTGTATACACATATACATTATAAGAAAAATGCCTATAATTAAATTTTAGCATATTGACTATATTAATATATATAAACAAAAAATCAGATATTTATATACACATAATATAGTCTTATATATTTTAACATATGTATGAGTAATCAGCCGAGTGCCTGCTTGATAGTGTGTGTGTGTGTGTGTGTGTGTGAACGTGTAAGAGTGTATGAATGCGAGTGTATGCGAGATCCTGTACGATTTGTCATTACGAATCCTTATTGTGCCAAAAACAGCAAAATAATAATAAAAAGAAGCCAGAGAAATTTGGAAAACTCGGCGTGTGCTTGATGAACTCCTAGCCGTAAGCTCTTGAATATATGTTATCTATGTTAGTTTTCTATGTATTTAAGAAGAAGAGATAACACACACATTGTAAATTAAACAGTCCTGCTGACTTGATATTGAATTGTATATTTATTTAATGCTATTTACATTTCTACTACGATTACAACTCTATTAACATACATTCAAGCTCTAAATTAAGCTCAAATTTTTGCAGTGTTGCAAATTTTGTGCAATAAAATTGAAAATAAATCAAAAATAGTGCATACACAAATATAGAAAAAACCATAAAACCATAAGTAATATGTTCATAGAGCCTTATCATTAATTGCCAGTGGAACATCAGAGAACTCGACCTTTGCATAATATTTCTTCAGCTCGTTCTTCAGCTCTAGACTGTGCGCCCAGTCTCTCGTCTCGCAGATCACTTTCACCTCCACCGTGTAGATGTCGCGCAGCCAGGCGCGCTCGTGCATAATGTCCTTGATGGAGACACCCAAGCGCACCAGCCGGGCGCAGAGATCGTTAATGCCACCCGGACGATCACTGACCTCCACATTGAACTTGACCAAGCGACCCTCGGCTGCCAGCCCGCGCTCCAGGCAACGTCCGAAGACCGTTGTGTCTATGTTGCCACCGCAGAGCAGCACGACAACCCTGCAGATAAACGAGGTTATTGATCATATTGGAAGAGAGTATGAGGTGTGCCAGACGCTGCTCACTTCTTGCCCTTGAGGTCGTCCAAGTGGCCAGCCAGTATGGCAGCCAGACCAGCACCGCCAGCACCTTCGACCACACACTTCTCCTCTTCCACCAAGCGCAAGATGGCCACGGCTATCCACTCCTCCTTCACCACAACCATGCGATCAATCAGGGGCAGAGCTGTGGCATATGCATTGACACCGACCTTGGGCACGGCCAAGCCGTCGGCTAGGGTGTTCTTGATGGGCGTACTTATAGGACCATTGTTTTCCATAGCACGTGAAAAGCTGGCGCACTTTTCCGACTCTACGCCCTAGAAATATGAATGGTTGATTATCAAAATTCTAGAGAAGTACAACTCCATAATAGCTTACGATTATTTTAGTCTTGGGCGAGAGCGCCTTCACAGCTGTGGCAATGCCTGCGATGAGTCCCCCGCCGCCAACGGGCACCACAACTGCATCCGGCTCAGGCACCTGCTCCAGTATCTCCAGCCCGATTGTACCCTGGCCGGCCATAATGTGCGGATGATCGTAGCCATTGATATACAGCAGCTGCTCCTCCCGCGACATCCGCATAGCCAGCGACTTGGCCTCGCCCATATCCTGGCCCTCGACAATCACGCGAGCCTTGTAGTTGCGGCACTTCTGCACCTTCATGATGGGCGCTGCCTTTGGCATCACCACGGTGACAGGAATCGACAACTTCCAGCCATGGTAACACAGCGCCAGGGCGTGATTCCCCAGCGAAGCGCTGATCACGCCCTTGCGTTTCTGTTCCTCCGACAGGCTGAGCAGTGCATACCGAGCACCCCGTTCCTTAAAGCTGTAAACAGAATCATTTTGTGCTTTGATACTGCTGACACAATAT